TAAAAAATCATAAGGAATTTAGTTATGGGATATATTTACGGAATTTCCGTAAAAAAGAATCACCAAAATGTAAGTTTGTCTGTTCTTTTTGTTACAACAAAAAGATGAGAAGTTGATGAGAGATTAAGAGGAAATGAAAAGTGGAAACAAATAAAAGTTGGGAGGTATTGACATTGTTACATTTACTTGGGCAGCCTAAGCCTATGGATGTGGATGAAGGAACTAGGCTTTGAAGTTGAGGTCCAAGTCAATTGTAAACCATTGGCTATTGAAATTCTTAAGGTAGGCTTCATCTAAGGGAGTTATGAGCTAAAACAAGATAACGATTAGGTTGACTCGCCTCAAAGTTTCCTTCAAATATGTTTTATGAGTGATGATATATTTCTTAGGCCATCTCCACCTCACTCTTTCATTTTTAACGCATCTTAAATATAATGAAGATTATTACATATCACTTATTTTTATAATATAAGTGATATGTAATAATTAAATGGGTGACACAAATAATCTCACTTTTCTACACTTTTGTTATATAAATCTTTATTTTTATTTTGTATTTTTGCGTTCTATATATAGTCACAACCGCCAATGTTAATATAAGCAACCTGTACTTGATAAGATCTTTTTTTCACTCCAATAGTCAATGCTCAATAGGAAGCATCCCCTTTAGCATCAAGGAAAAGACACTCTTATAAATACTTTAAGGCTAAATTATAATTTTTATCTTTTATCTCATTTTTTAAATTTATTTAATTTTTATTTTTTAAATATTCATTTTAATTATTTATAACTCTAGTCTCAAGTTCTCAAACAAAGGCTAAGAAGCTAGGAAGTAAGACTGAGTGAGTCAACTATCAATCCTAGAGGTAAATTTTAGTCCCTTTAAAATTTAAACCGATTTTTTTTTCCATAAAATTGAAATTTTAATTTTAGTGCTTAATTTTCTATGTTATTTTAGTCATTTTTTGAATCACCAATATTTTTTTCATCTCATCATAATATTCAAATTATATTTGTCAATTCAAATGGTTACCAATTACTAGATCAATTCGATCAACTCTCCAAACAATCATATAAAGAATTGTCATGTATGTTGTTATATCTCAATGTTATGACATATGATTGAGAAATATTAGGCAACACATTTTTTTAACATTTTTTTGGAGATCATAAAATTTTATGAGCGTTACACTTTCATTTCTTAATTAATGAATTTTACTCATGATTTTATAGTTTCTAATAATATAAGCAAATAATATTATTCATTTACAAACATTATGTTGGTTTTTGTTTAATATTAATTAATACATTAAAAAATATTATTATTTGATTATACGGGTAACAAGTTTAACTATAATTCATTCACAAATTATATCTTCGAACCTTGAATCATGTGCCTTCATCAGTTCAATGATCAATCTAGTTTTAAAAGTCTTGTTCCAAATTTAAACTATCAGAGATTTGCGACAAAGGTAAAAGTGAAATCCTATGGCCTTATCTAATAACATTTGAATGACCTAAGTTCAAATCGGACGTGAAAACCACACTAATGCATGCTAATAAATATAAATAACATTTAATATTTGTTCAGGTTGAACCTGAGCGGCCCAAAAGTCAACAAAATACACAATGACGGGCTTGAGAAAGAGCCCAACAGCTCCCTGGACAGCAAGCCCAGGTAGGCCCAATAATTAAACATGTCTTAAACCGCCACGCACCATATAACCAACGAGAATCATGGAAACGGAGAACAATAACCAGAGAACTTTGTCGACTGGGCTAGTGGACAACAATATTTAACTAAATTATTCAAGTCGTGTTTGACAAAAGTATTTGAAAAATCAGCTAAGCCTGATGATATATACACCTCCATTTTTTTATACATACACTGTCTTTTTTTAAAAAAAAAAATATTAAATTTCTAAATTATCCTTAATATTATTTGGAATAAAAAAAAATTATCTTGGAAAGTTTTTTTCGGAAGTGTATTTGTACATAATTATGGAAAGTTCTTTCCGGAATACTAAAATTACAATTACGGAAATAACTTTCCGTCGGAATAATTATGGAAAGTACTTTCCGTAATACTAAAATTACTATTGCGAAAAGTTCTTTCCGGAATTATGGTAACAAATACACACACTGTTAATATTCTGGAAAGAATTTTCGCAATAATAATTATAGTGTTACGGAAAGTATTTTTCATAATTATTTTGACGGAAAGTTATTTCTGGAATAGTAATTTTAGTATTCCGGAAAGTACTTTTCGTAATTATTCTGACGGAAAGTTCTTTTCGGAAGGCTCATGATATATACACCTCCTGTTTTTTTTTATAAGTACACCTTCTTTATTTTTTTAAAAAAATTATAAAATATTATATATATATTTTTTAATTTTATACCTTTAACTTTCAATTTTCTAATTTTTTCTTTTTTTTTTCACACACTATTTTTTTCTCTTTCAATTTTTACATGCTACCAAAATAGATGGGGTGAAGGAAAGATAACGGGTGCATGTAAAAATTGAAAAAAGAAAAAAAAGAAAAAAAAAAGAAAGATCTGTAAAAAAAAGTACTAAATTAAATGTTGTGAATGTAAAATTTAAAAAAAAAAAACAAAAAATTAAAAATATTTTAAAATTTTAATTATTTTTTTTGAAAATGAGGTGTACTTATAGGAAAAAGGAGGTGTATATATCATCAACATTTGAAAAACACTTTCCAGAATAATTTTTTTTATTTCAAATAATATTAAAGATAATTTAAGAATTTAATATTTTTTTTTTAAAAAAAGGGGGTGTATGTATAAAAAAATGGAGGTGTATATATTATCAACAAAAAAAAAAGGGGGTGTATGTATAAAAAAATGAAGGTGTATATATCATCAACCATGAGCTAAATGCTAAAAAAACTAGTTGGTAGGTGCAAGCTGTTAAATTAGCTTATTAAATATAAAATGACAGAAATTCATGCATTTGTATGATATTTTTATCTATATTTCAGTTTTGTTTTATGGATAAAAAAATATTTTTCGTAATTATAATTTGTTTTTAATTAATTTTGAATTCCTATAGTATTTCATTTAAAAATAGATTATTTTAGATAATTTTTGAGTTTTAATTATTATATTTTTGTATTATATTATACTATTAATTTTAATATTTCCAAATAAGTTTAAAATAAAATAAAAATAATATGTACTTAAGAAGACTGAAAACAGTGGAAGAAGGAAAATAAAAAAGGAACAGAAAAAACTCTATCTTATGCAAAACGGGTTAAAAGAAAATTTAATAAATATTTTAAAAAGAAAAATAAAATATAAGAAACTAAAAGTTAAAACAGTACTTGAAATACAGAAGACGTTAAAAAGTACCAAAAATAAACTTATTTAGCAAATAAACTTTTCAATTGGTATAAAAAGCTGAAAATATTTATGAAACTCACTTAAAAAAATACTATTAAAAATATTGAATATTTGTACTTTCATTTACTAGTTTTTAATTTTCATTTCTTTGTACACGCCATTAAGGAGACATTGACGTTAACAAAAAGAAAAACCCTTTCAGAAAATTGCCGTATTTCCATATTCGTATGGTATGCTAATCGAGTCCCTTTTCATACTATTCCTTCTTAGCTTTGTCATCATTGACAGAATTACATAACAATTCGGATAGTTTAACAGAAACGCCAAAATTAGGTGACGTTACACCAATACAAGGAGCCAAGGATATAGTACTTTAAGGAAGGTTCTATTAATGTTACTTGTTTTTTGTCTAAAGGGTTACATTGAGCCTTGTTGGCAACTGAAATTGTTCTCCGGGTCATGTAGACAAGCATGCTTAAAAAATTTAGAAGTGAAGTGGTCTTAGGTGCCTTAAATAATGTTTACCTATCTTTGTCAAAGTCACAAACATATTTATATAGCATAGTAGCTTCAGTTGTTTGTAACAAGTAAGATTATGATTATACAAGAAGTTTGACCTACATAGCAGAGGAACCGGCCAGAAACATACAAACTTTGCTACAGTTAGAGGCCTTTTAATCTTTCAAAATTCAAGAATTTGTTATAATTGTTATAAGTAGAGCCACTTTTCTGTTGGTGTGGCTGTTCATTGATCTCATGAGCAATCTAGGATTTTCTTAAGTGACGCTCTCATGCACTGCCATATAAGCACATCCATGTTAGCATAGAAAAATTATTAGATAGTACTTCTATCAAATATTTATAGTCTCAAGTTATGTATTCAAATTAAAATTACATAATTAGAATAAAAAAAATCCGCAAAAGAAACATGGCACTAAAATTAAATTTAAATTTGGATGATCAAAAGTGGAATTAAGTCCTTAATATACGATGCAAAAAGAGGAACAAAAGTTGAGACTTATTATAGAGGCTGCAACGGATCCTGCGGCGGAAGACGACAAATTAAATGACATAAGAAATGGTAACTGGATGGCACGATGATTTTAGAATCAGCCGTTGAGGTTTTCAGGAGTCATAATCTACATATAATGCTCAATTTTCCTGAAACGACGGATCAAGAAAATGAAATGTTATGAGTGCTCTTGGACTGTACTTATATCAAATATCAAGTTGCACTGAAAAATATTCATTTGGATATCTCATCAGACAAGCCTAAAGATTTTCAATGGTGGACATACCAAGCTGTTGAAAGTTGTTTGACAAGGCTCATTAACAAAAAATATTCACGTTTGAATAAAAAAAATGGCTCAAAGTATTCATGTTTGAATAAAAAACTGGCTGGAGAATATAACTAATCTTGCAAGCCAGGAAAATCCTCCAAATGGCAGCACCCCAAGAAATACTCAACTCTCTCCAATACTTTTCTTCTTGTCTGTAGCACTAACTGCACAAATAGAAAGAGTCAAAGTACCATGCATTTAATTAAACATCTAACTTCTTTGACAGTTATTTTAATGTAAAAAAATGTCTTAAGAAGCTCTCAGAATAATCCAATTCCTTGTAGAGAGCAAATTTTGTGAACCATAAGAATGAACGGAAGCATCATCGTAACGTAAGGACCACAATGAATAATGTTCTATCATCGTTGATGGTCTCCCCAGACTTGTTACCATCTGGATCCTTGCTAGGTTCATTGATTCACTTATCCAATGAAGTTGGCTCAATGGAGAAGTTTCCCTTGGTGCACACAAGGAATGTTTCATCCATGATAAGGAGGATCAAGCTCCTCTCTTCTTTGTTTGAAGAGATTCAAGAAACGGGTACTCCACTTCCTCCCTCATCAATCCTTTGTCTCACTGAACTCTTCTCTGTGATCAGAAGAGTGAAGATTTTGATCCAAGAATGCAAGGATGGAAGCTCTCTTTGGAGTCTCATACAGTTAGAGTTCATTGCAAACCAATTTTATGTGCTTGTAAAGGAGATGGGAAGGGCCCTTGATATCCTTCCTTTGAGTTTGCTTAATGTAACATCAGATATAAGGGAACAAGTGGAGCTTCTTCATAAGCAAGCAAAGAGGGTTGAGTTACTCATTGATCCTAGAGAGATTCAAAGAAGAGAACATCTAATACAAGTGATGGCCAACAACAGTTTTCAAAACAATAAGAACAAGGGTTTTATTGACTTTGACAAAGTGGAAGAGATATTAAGCAGCATTGGTTTGAGAACCCCTTCAGATTATGATGGAGAAATATCCAAGTTAGAGGCTGAAGCTCAGAATCAAGCTGGCACAGGAGGACTAATTGTTGTATCCAATATAAATAATCTCATATCTCTTGTCTCTTATTCAAAATCCATGATATTCAGAGATGGAGAGTGTGACAGAAAAAATGAAGATTGTAAGCCACTATCTGCATTTTTACACAACAAAGTCCATGATAGTTCTTCATCCTCTCAGTCCATGACGCCAAATGTTCCTGATGAATTTCGTTGCCCCATTTCACTTGACTTAATGAGGGACCCCGTGATTGTGTCATCGGGACACACTTATGATAGAACCTCAATTGCACAATGGATAAACTCTGGCCATCACAGTTGCCCCAAAAGTGGGCAAAGGCTAATTCACACTGCTCTAATACCAAACTATGCATTAAAGAGCCTCGTTCATCAATGGTGCTATGACAACAATGTCCCAGTGAATGAGCCTACAACTGAGGGAAACAACATTAGCAAGAAGAATTTGAACGAAGAAGCTATTGATCATATTTCTGCAAACAAAGCAGCTGCAGATGCTGTCAAAATGACAGCAGAATTTCTAGTTGGAAAATTGGCAACCGGTTCTGCTGATATCCAAAGACAAGCTGCATATGAACTTCGATTACTCGCGAAAACCGGCATGGATAACCGGAGAGTCATAGCCGAGGTAGGGGCTATTCCCTTTCTTGTAACACTTCTAGGATCTCAAGACTCAAGGATCCAAGAGCACGCTGTGACAGCTTTGTTCAACCTTTCAATATTCGACAACAACAAGCTTCTGATCATGGCAGCAGGAGCAGTTGGCAACATAGTAGAAGTACTAGAATCGGGGAAGACAATGGAGGCAAGGGAAAATGCAGCAGCATCAATATATAGCTTGTCAATGGTAGATGAGTGCAAAGTGCAAATTGGAGGAAGAGCAAAAGTAATACCTGCCTTAGTTGGACTCTTGAAAGAAGGTACTCCAATTGGGAAAAGAGATGCTGCAAGTGCACTTTTCAACCTTGCAGTGTACAATCCTAACAAGGGAAACATTGTTGAAGCTGGTGCAGTTCCTGTGTTGGTTGAGTTGTTGATGGATGATAAGGCTGGCGTAACAGATGATGCACTTGCTGTGCTAGCTTTGCTTCTTGGATGCTCTCAGGGGCTAGAAGAGATAAGGAATAGTAGAGCATTGGTGCCACTTCTTATTGATCTTCTGAGATTTGGATCAGTGAAAGGGAAGGAAAATTCAATAACCCTTTTGCTAGGATTGTGCAAAGAAGAGGGGGAAGTGGTGGCAAGGAGGCTATTGGCAAATCCAAGGAGCATTCCTTCTCTTCAAAGCTTGGCTGTTGATGGCTCTTTGAGAGCTAGGAGAAAGGCTGATGCATTACTTAGGTTCCTCAATAGGTGCTGCTCTCAGCCTCATCATTCTGTTTGATAGAGTAGGGTGTGTTGTAATCACATGACTTCACAAATGCAGAGTTGTATATTTTGTGAATGGTATACATGAAAAATTGGTCATCATTTGTTGTTTTGTTTGCAACTTTCTGGTATCAGAACTTTGGAGCTTTGTCCAATGATTGATGATAAGGAAATAATCCTCGGATGAGTCAATTATCACTTGAGCAAATGATTTAGTACCAGAATAGTTAAGATTTAAGAATGTAAATCGAATAGTGCTAGTGCCTAACTCTATTTACTTGTCGATATGTCTATGTTGGCTTTACAAGTTTTAGCTTCATCTGCAGTTGGTGATTTGATATATAAATCGAATTCAACCTGTCTACCAACCTTGCATTCGGTTGTACGGAGGAATATATCATGTTGCAGTACGCAGTGTAGCTTGCAAATCTTGATTCGAGTGGTACAATTTGGGTAATTTTGTCATCTTTTGGAATGAAATCTTAAATTTTAAGTTGAGATGGAGTGTTAAATTTAAGTTAGCATGTAGGCCGGTGAGATGGGGTATTAAATTATAAGGGGTTAAATATTTTTTTATCTCTACAAAATTAGTTAATTTATATGTTGAATGATTATGTACTAATATAAAATTATGATTAACTCCAAGCGTGTGCGTTTAAGCAAGATCAGGGGTTCGAATCCTGCCTTGTGTATGTAGTCGCGTTAAATTTTGGGGCTAACATAGCGAGGAGATTAGTCACTCCTATTATATATATATATATATATATATGACTTTTTAAGTAATGTATATATGCACTACTTTTTTAAGTAGTCTATAGTAATATAAATTTATAAATATTTTCTAGTAACTGGACAGTACTGCTATTTTTATATTTCACATGGAGCATCTATATTCCAAAATCTTAAAGTGGTTCTTGCTTATTAAAAACAGTTGTCGATAAGAATCATGCGATAGAGTATTTTGTAATAGTTCTTAAATAAGTATGGTTACTTATTTAACCACATATGCTTATGTTATTTAAAAAATAATAATAAAAATGCATGTATAATATAAAGTAATATATCTGTTACATTTTAACCTTGTATAATATATATGAACTTTATTTTAAGTCGTTATTTTAATGTTAAAGAATTAAATATTTATTATTTTATTATAGTTTTACATACCAACATGTATATAAATATGTTTCGGATCAATTTTTTTACGCATCTAAATCTCTCAATTCTCTCATTTTTAATTAGTTAGCCATGATAATTATTAAAAATAATTATTTGGTTTTAATTTTTTAAAATAAAATTAAATAGATAAATACAATTGTCATGGTCAAATAGACTTGATTTCTGGGCCAAATAAAAAACAAGCCATTATTTCGGGCGTAAATTCTTAGAATTGGGCCTAAATTCTTAGAATTCAACCTAAATTACATGTTCAAACAGGTCCATATTCAAATTCAAATTATTACCCTATTATTTTTTAAAAGAAAAAGAGTAATCAATCATCTTAAATTTTACTTTTTATAAATGAATATCATAAACTTTATTTTATCCTAATCAATCCTTAATCTTTATCTGATTTTTAAATAAACATTATCAACTTTAATTTTATTTCAATTAATCATTAAATTTTACTTCTTTTACAAATAAACACTCTCAATTTTAATTTCATTCTAATTGATTTTAATATTTGATAATTTATTATTTTTAAAGAGTTTTCAGATTATCAATTTAGAGATAAATTATTTATTTTATATATTAATCATTCATTAATATTTTTTATATTATAATTTTCTTCTTCAAAATATAATAAAAATACGTGTTTAGAGAAAAAAAAAGAATGATAAAAGCAATTCTTCATTTGATTTTTTTTTTCTTTTAAATTATTAATAAATAAGTGATTTAAAATAAATAAATGATTGATATTTTTTTTATCTTAATAATTTAATTTCAATATAATAAGATACTTACAAAAAAAAAAATAAAGATAAAATTGCAGGTGTTTATTTGCAAAAATTGTAAAGTTTAAGGATAAATTATAATAAAATTAAAGTTTATGATGTGTATTTGTTAATAAAACAAAATTTAAAAATCAATTGGAATAAATTTAAAATTTGTAGTGTTTATTTAAAAAAAATGAAATTTAACGAAGTTAAATACTTTTTTCTCTTTTCAAAAACTCAATAGTCAAAATTTGCTATATTTAGGCCTAAATTTTTTTGGGTTGGCATTTCTACTTCCATACAAATATTCTGTTTTAAAAACTTTTCTTCTAGTATTTATCTTCATCCTCTCTTATCACACAATTTAAATTCTAATTTAAACTAATTTGTCTATTTTATCTTTGTTTTTTTTTAATGATTTTTTCTGATTTCTTTGCGAAAATTATCTTTAACTTTTTACTTTCTTTATTAATTTAAATTATTTTTTTCATCTCTTTTATGCTTTAAATTTCTTTATCTATGACATGATTTAAACTACTTTTCTCTTC